CCTATATTTCAACTTGCGCCATGAATCCCCTAAAGCAGTCCCCACCCGGAGACCCGAACGGGGGACTAGTTTACTTCCGGATAATGAGCGTTTTACCTTAGGAAGATCCATGACTTTTTGTGGTGTTTGGTGAACTAAAGATATGTGAGTAGGGCGTTCAATCCTACGTCACACCCTCCAGCAAGTCTGGTGGGCCCCTACCTCCAGCAAGTCTGGAGGTCCCCTCCCTCCAGCAAGTCTGGAGGGCCCCTCTCATTGTTGGTCAGCGAGTCCATCGGACTTAGCCGGGAGGAACTTCCAAGGAATTTCCACCGACCATCCCCACATCCGCCACCCGTGGGACGCTCCCCATACGCGGTAATGAGCCCGCGCGAGGTGTGTGGTTATAAATATATTAAATATTTACAATAATAGTTAATTAAAAGTAAAAATATAGAAAGAATGAGAGACAAGAAGAAAATAAAAGCGTACATATATATAAAACAAACATATGAAAATAAAATAATATAAATAAACAGAAATAGTTTCTGGGGTTACTTAAATAGTTCTCTTAGGTACATATATATAAAAGAAACATATGAAAATAAAATAATAGAAATAGTTTCTGGGGTTACTTAAATAGTTCTCTTAGGTACATATATATAAAACAAACATATGAAAATAAAATAATAGAAATAGTTTCTGGGGTTACTTAAATAGTTCTCTTAGGTATATGTTGTAGTCAGTCGGATTGGGAAAGGAGTAAATGTTTAAAGAGAGAAGATTTGAAAGAGAAAACTGATTGTGCGTGCCGAATATCAGGAGGGATAGAAGCCCAGAGGGATACGGCTTGAATTGCAAAGGATTTGTCAAACACAGAAGTTAGATGAGGAGGACGATAGAGGTCGGAAGTACATCTAGTGGGACGGGATTGAATGGAGTATTTACATTGTAAGCTCTGAAAAATATAAAATGATCGATGAGTTCTAATGACCTGGTACAAAAAAGTAGCTAGGAAGTACTGACGGCGATAGGATGGATAGAACAACTTTAACTCGGTGTAATACTGAGTAATATGCTTATCTTTTGATATTCCAAGAACAACATATATTGCGCAATTTCTTAGGTGTTTAAGTTTGGCTTCAAAATTTCCCGATAGTCCACCGAACACCATACAGCCATAGTCAAAGTAGGAGAAAACAAGAGAGAGAACTAGGAGTTGACGGGACTTATATGGAAGAAGATAGTGTAGACGATTGAACTGTTTCAGGGTATAGATAGTATGACGGGAAATTCGGGTGATGTATGGTTTCCAGGAGAAGGTTTAATCAAAAGTAACGAAAGGTTTTTAACGAAAGTATGGAATAAGATAGGTGAGTAGTTCATGAGAAGATTGGGGGAGGGAGGGGGAGAAGGTACCGGCAAGGATTTGAGGAGTGAGAGGGATCCGATCAAGGTGGCTTCGTCTTCTCGGCGTTCAGAGTAAGCCTGTTGAGGTTTGCCCAACCACTTATTCTGTTAATATCTTCTTGGAGTTTTAGGACGGCATCTGAGAAATCGGTCGAATTGAAAGATAAGCAAATTTGGACTTCGTCGGCATACAGGTGGTATTGACAGTGCAGGACAGAGGATTGTTTTTGCCGCCATTAATTTTATGAGTGCAGAATCTTCAAATTTAGTACTTTGTATATTCAGGTATATTACGTCATTTTTTATAATCCTTTTCTTAATTTATAATTTTTTAAAAACGTCCATTCTTTTCATTTTTGAAATGGCATGTAACAGTTTTACCTTATTACTTTTTTTGTGGGTGTGAACAATTTAAAAATTTATCTTTAAAATGTGATGCATGGCCTAAACCAGGGAGGTGTTCTTTAATTCTGCTATTTAGTTTTCTTTCCATCTCCCCGATATAAACGGCAGGCCATTTCAAAAGGGAAAAGAATGGACTTTTTTGAAAAATTCGAAACTAAGAAAAGAATTATTAAAAATTGTGCAATATGCCTGAATGTACAAATTAATCAATTTGAGGATTCTGCACTCATAAAATTAGTTGCGGCAAATGAAAACAATACGGGGAAGTAGAGATAGCCAATCTGGTCAATAGTTTTATTTTTATTTTTTAGTCCTCTTTGTCAAGCAGGAGAGGAGAACCACCATCAGTAAGGTGATTACTATTTTTATTAATTAAATTATTAACATTGGATTTTGAAAAGTGAAAATAAAGGAATATACATGAAAACAAAATCTTTTTTATTAAATTAGAATAAGGATGATTAGTTTTTGCTGATCTATGGCTGTATGAATGTCTTGAGAAATTTTGATTAGGGTAGACTGAATAGAATAGTCAGACCTGAAACCAGACTGGTAGGGATTTAGGAGATTATTCTGCTCTAAAGAAATGGGATAGCTGGGATTGGACTAGTCGTTCTAACGGTTTGCAGACGTTTGGAAGAAGGGAAATTGGACAGAAATCATTAAGATTAAGAGTTGATGGGTTAGAGGTCTTCTTCAATGGGCGAACTATGGCGGTTTTCCTGGATGTTATCGGGACTATAATCGTTAGTATGGGACTTCTGAGCCCACAGGAGATAGCTGATGTTAACAGCTAGTGGGGCCTAACGCACCCCCGGTTTCCCGTATTCAATACAATGTACAAAGACATACAACAGTATACAACTCAGTCACACTGGCACAAGGTCATTTACACTACACTCCCTAGGTTCGACTTTCCAAGGAAGTCTGGAGGAGCTAGTCAGGATGCTCTGAGGAGGTAACTCCTTCCTCCGACTCGGAGGCTGTTGTGCTGATAACTCTTAAATCAAAATTATCACGAAACCTCAAGAAACATCAGCCAGGCTGCCAAAAAGGAAAACAAATAGCTCTCGTCCCACGGACTTCACTATTGGATCATGGAATGTTTTATCATTATATAGACCCGGAGGACTAAAACTGCTATTAGACGAAATTAACGGGTATAAAATCGACATAACTGCCCTTCGAGAAATTGGATGGACTGGACAAAGTACTTCTTCTATTACTATAGAAAAAAAAAGATCACGCCACAGCTGTGATGATAAAAAGCACGCAGCAGTTCGTTGAGGAGGAGGATAGAGGTTGGATGTACGAGATCTGGTAAGAAGAAATTGAAAGGAGCGTTAGAATTGTAGGATCTGTAGAATACAGGCGGGTCGCCGAGTTCTAATGGAAATGCTGGAGGAATGTAGGAATGTAGAGGACGAATATAGCAAGGAAATACTGTCGGCGGTAGGACGGATAAAGCCACTTCAACTCGGTGTAAAACTGGTTAATATGTGTATCCCTTAGGATTCCGAAGATAAAGCGTATTGAGCACTTCATTAGACGTTTAAGTTTGGCTTCGTGTACTCCCGAAAGTCGACCATACACGGTACAGCCGTAGTCGAAGTGGGGGAAAACAAGAGATGAGACCAGGAGTTGACGGGTTTTGAACTGAAGAAGATAACGTAGATGGTTAAACTGTTTCAGGGTGGAAATAGCACGGTGGGAAATTTGGAAGATGTGTGGTTTCCAGGAGAGGGTTTGATTGAGGGTAACGCTAAGGTTTTTAACGGTGATATGGAAGGAGATAGAAGAAGATTGGGAAGTACTGATATGGATTTGAGGAGTGAGGAGGATCCGATCAGGATAGCTTTCGTCTTCTCCTTATTTAACGTGAGCTTATTAAGATTAGCCCATGCGCATATTCTATTGATGTCTTGTTACAGTTTCAGGATGGCATTAGAGGAATCCGCCGGGTTGAAGGAAAGATAAATTTGGACGTCATCGGCATATAGGTGATATACTGCATGATATAGGAAGGGAGGTCATTGATGTAGATGGTAAAGAGTGTGGGGGATAAAGAGGAACCTTGTGGGGCGCCTCTGGACAGAGGTAGAGACATTGATGGAGGGGTATTAGGAACTAAAACGAACAGGGAGCGATCTTTGAGAAAAGATTGGAACCACTTAAGGGCGCTAGATGATAAGGAAATATTTTTAAGTTTGGTTAGGAGAATATTATGGTCAACTGAGTCGAATGCTTTAGGGAAATCAAGAAGGATCAGGATGGTCAGTTTCTGTTGGTCTATGGCTGTGTGGAGATCTTAGAAGATTTTAATGAGGGCAAAATGAGTGGACTGGAAGCAGTTCAAATGGTTGTTTCATTTGAGATATTGAGATAGTTGGGATTGTACTATTCATTTTAAAGGTTTGAAAAAGTTAGATAACAGGGAAATTGGACGGAAATCATTAGGGGTTGTGATATTAGATTTTGTTCAGTGGAGGAACAAGGGCGGTTTTCCAGGTGAAGGGAAAAGTGGAACCTTGTAGTTAAGTTAATTAGATATTAAAAATAATTAAATTAAATTAATGTGTAAACTGTACTATAATCACGATTATGACAATATTGACACTACTGGCAATACTGCCAAACTATGTGACTTGACCAGACAGTTGACAGTAACTGTTGCATGAGTGACATGATAGAGAGAAGAAAAAATATAAATGTTGATTATATTAAATTATACTAGATCAATTTTTTCCTTTGATAATTACGGAAAGACTGGCTTATCATAATACTATGTGATCTATTTTAACAAGTACAAGCACATGAATAAATCAGGAAAATTTCTACTGACTAATAAAAGAAATGATTGCTAGCTTGAGATTAGAAAATTTGGAAACATATTTAAATACTATCTTTCTGCATGTTTTTCTGATGCTATAATTAGTGACAACTGAAATTGATATTTCATATGCCAGATTACAATGTTGGAGACAAGTTAGAGGTATTATTATTACAAACACTGATGCTATGAAATTAAAGTATGGAACATTCTTTGCCTTTTCTCCAGAAGAATAGCAAAAAACTGAGAAGGGACAACTACTACTGTGGAGTTATAAAATAATAATAACAAAAAACACACTGTCTTTTTTTATTTTCTTTGTTCTATCACTAATGCACTTGGAAATAACCTTAGTTGCAAAATATAATAAAATGAATGAAGTCTTATAGTTATTTTATTTATATTAATGGTTATTACAAATATTGTCCATTAATACGAATCCAATTCGGGTTCTATACTTGGAGGATCATCAACTTCATCATCATTATTATCCTCGTCATCATTACTATCATCTTCTAGAAGAGGATCCTGAATAATCAATATTATATATTTAAAGTGTCACAAAAGAACTAAGTTTACAATAAACTAAGAACATTTAATAAACTATGCTATCAACCATAAACTATCAATCATACTAAAAGATAGATGTATAACCAATTAAAACTCATCTATCAGTTATTGTGATGTGTGATTAATGAATATCAATGATTGATAAGGTGAAAGAACATATTGTGGATTAACTGCTATTGTTTAGTAAAATGTATATTCTATCAATATCATCAATGCTTAAAGTAATCTACACCATGAAAATTATCTTCATTGCAATATTTTATCCACAGGTTTCAGAGAAATTTGTCTCTCTGAAGAAGTTACCTGAATGGGATACTCAGAATAGTGGAAAGCTTTTATAAGGTTAAAAAATTTATTAAGGCAAATTTTATTTCAATGCAATGATGATGTTTTGACTCTTTTATATATTGGTCATTTTCAAACTTTTATATATATTTTTATTGCTATCATTTCATTGTGCTCAATGGAAGTACTTGTTAATTTTTTTTTTAATTTTAAGTTACTATACAACAAACGTCAAAATTGTCATGTAGGTAAATATATATATATATATATATATATATATATATATATATATATATATATATATATAGTATTCATGATATAAAAAAAAAAAAATCACTCATCGTATTATTAAAAAATGATAAGGAAAATCTGCACCAGATACATAATACTGTTTATAGTACACATAGTACTGTTTCACAATTATGTAAGGATGAAGATTTTCTAGTTCGATTGTGCAAGTGTTTGACTTGGTGAGGATGACATTCAGCCTATAGTTTTTTATCCCAATTGCTAAAAAGTTAGGAAAAAAAACTTACCTTCGAGACATCAGGAGCTATATTGTATCCTTGTTCTGCTGTTATTTTTTTTGCTTCTAGCAATGAATCACGAACTGCCTTTTGGAATTCCACTTCATCTTGGACTTCTTTATCAGTCAGCAGTTTATCCTTCATTTCTGTATTGGTCGACAGTACAACATTTCGTCCGGGTAGCTTTTGCTCTTTTTCTGGTACAGGAGGCATTTGATCATTTAAATCATCACAATACAGAGATTCAGAATCAGTTTCTTCACTAAACTCATCTTTTGCCTCTACATACTTTGTTTTTCCTACATTATTTGGTTTCAAATAATTTGTTTCGGTTTTTTTTCCCTTTTTAGCAGCTATTTTCAAATGATATTCAAAGCAAGCACTTTTCGCTTTTTCATTTTGTAACATATTAAGAAGCTTTCTTTCATTTTGAATAGCATTTTTCAATTTTCTTCTCAAACACTGAAACACATTCAAATTATTGTCCCACTGAGGAAAAACAGAAAACAAATATTTTCAGAATGGGAAAAACAGCAAGGAGGGGGGGAGGGAAGGATTAAAGTCTGTGGGTCACCGATTTTAACCAATTTTTTTTTGGAGATATTGTATCAAAAATTATCAGAAACATAACCTGGCATTTTTTCCACTAGGTCCTAAGGGCTGAGAAAAAAAAAATTGATATAATTTCTAACAAAATATATGTTAATTATCTTTGCCTTTGCTTTGCCGGATTTTATATGTTTTTTTTTTTGTTTTTTTTCGGTTGGCTCTATAGACCTTGTAGATCTTTGGCCGCCTGAACCAGCCTTCTCCACCTCTGCCTATCTTGGGCTACTGCTTTCCAGTTTGCGGCGTGAAGCTCAGCCATATCTTTGTTTATCCTATCTATCTATCTGGTTTTTGGTCTTCCACGCGGTCTCTTGCCTACTACTCTGTCATTCATTTTCGTGTAAAGGCGTCCTGATGGATTGCTACGAGCTACATGCCCTGGCCATCTTAACCTCCTTGCTTTCATATCATGAAATATTGACTGACCCATTTCTTGCAGCAGTTCTTTATTGTTCCTTCTCCTCCATGTTTCAAGGTTCTGGTCCCATATAGGTCCTGTTATCCTACTTAGAACTTTTCTTTCGAATCTCTCAATTTTGGCTTCTAGTGTGCCTGTTAGAGCCCAGGTTTCAAAACCGTACAGCAGAACTGGCTTAATCACAGTGTTAGTTCTGGCGATATGATGAATAGGATAAAAAAGAGCAATGAAAAGGAGAAAAGAACAAAAAGATTTTCGGGATATGACTTATCGCTGGAGTCAGAGAGGAAATTAGTGTTTAAGTCACTGGAAATGATAATCTTGGAATAAAGGGGATAGTTGAAGAGGGATGATTCGAAAGATGGATCAAATGGAACAAGAGGAAGACGATATAATACGGTGTAAAGGAGAGAAGAGATGGTACATGAGATCTCAACATTTAGAAACTCGATTTATGACTGATCAGATGGAGTGGATAATCTATTTATATCAATAATTTTGTGCAGAATAAGAAAAACACTATCAATAGTATTTAAAAAAAAAAAAAATGGAATCCAAACGTTATTGGTTTCAGTTGGGAGAGCAGTGATTCAGCTTTCCAATGATTATATTAAAATTGAATTTGAAGTAAATCTTGAGGAGTTATGAATGCTTCAGTTGACAGCCAGAAAAAAATTTGTCCAACAAAATCCACTGTTATAGGGTATATTTTTTTATATATATAGCAATTCGTATTTAAGAGTACTACTGGAAGCAGTGCTGGGCCTTAGACATTTGGCACCCTCCCTTTCTACTCCCCCCCCCCCCGGGGTATGACGTCATCTCCCCTCCCTCCCCCCTAAAAAAATTAATTTATTTCTTAAGCTGTTCTATATTATGTAATATTTGATTTTTTTTTTAAATTTAACAAGTGTTCTAATACAGTTGCTTTAATGTTAGGCTAAAACTAATAATTTTAATACGTTTTGTAACTTTTTTTTATTTCTTAAGTGTGGCGAGAGCCCCTGTAGATCGGCCTGCCTCACGAGGCAATTGCCCTGGTTGCCCCGCCCTGTCTGGAGTACCTTTTGGTTTTTTAAAATTTATGATACACTATAACTCATTTGATAAAATAGTTGATATTCTTTCTCATTCTGCACAACAAAATAAAAAGACTGATATAAAGTAATCTAAAAATCCTGGCAAAGCAAAGGCAAAAATAAATAACATATTTTATTTTCAAAATTATATAATTTTTTTTTCTTAGCTCCAAGAGTCCATTGGAAAGAATACCAGGATACGTGTCTAATATTTTTAGTTGCATCACCAAAAAAAAAATTGGTTGAATTCGGTGGCCCAGATCCTTCCATTGTAGTACACATTTAACATTGACATTTTTTAAAAACTAAATTTTCTTTAATTACTGGTAAATGAATATTTTAATAAATTTGTAGAATTTTCTGAAGGAATTTTATTTAGTTTAAATAAACAGATTATTACAGATATTTGCTTGGAAATGTTTAATATGATATAAAGTATTATAGTATGATAAGTTTATAATTAATCTGTTAATTAACCATAACAGACATTAATTGATTCAAAAGATAGTTATGATAAATTAAGATGCTAAAATTAAATGGTTAATCATAATAATAAAATTGGGGTTCATTATACTTCATGAAACTGCTTCTTTTTTTGGTAATGAGTCCTGTATACTGTATGTAGCAGACTCTTAACAAAAATAACTCAGAAGAAAAACACCTATACTGTTGAAATATTTAAAATCACAGATTTCCAGTCATCACTATTCACTACTAATTTCAAGCGGAAAGTGGCCTACGTTAAAACTGTTGGTACTCAGGATCTGTGACATTTGATGTAATACAATATTTATTCTCTTTGGGTTTTTTCTCATAGAGAACTCATTTCCAAGAAGCAGGGCCGTTATTAATAATTTGTCTCAGTTTTTGTGAATTTGGTACAAATCAGCGTTTGTTGACCATGGTTATTGACCATAGCACTTATCCAAATTATTAAGTTTAGGTACTTGTTCGATCATTGTTGTGTTCTTTAATACCTTAAAGAGTACGTTTCTTTTTCATTGATGCACTGTTTAGAAATAATAGGTAAAAAAAAAAAAAAAATCGAACAAAATCTGGCTTTTTTGGCTGTAAAAGGTTGGCTCGCCTTTGTAATTTTGTTGTCCAAACCCATATATATATATATATATATATATATTATATATATATATATATATATATATATATATATATTATATATATATATGTATATATATATATATATACAAGTATATATATATATATATACTCCTATATTCCTAACTATATATATATTCCTAACTTGTATATATATATATATATATATATATATTATTATATATATACAAGTTAGGAAAATACAAACGTTTTTCACAATGAATATCCCATTTCGATCCTCAAGTTACTGGTTTAATATTCTTTAATATTCTTTAAATCAGCCACCATTTTCACAGGTAGAAATATAAATATTTTAATATAATCTTTAATATAATTTAACAAAAATCTTTCATAATTTTCTTCAGATAATGACAATTTTTTTGAACGGGCTTTCAGACTATATTTTGAGTTGGCAGAATATACATTTTTCACTGTTTTCATTCAATAGTTCAATTGAAAACTCAGTAATTTTGTGGAATTTCATGTGTTTGGTAGATTTTGTTAAATTCTCAATTCAAGCTGGTGGGTGACAATTTTTTTTTTTAAGTTTTACCAAATTTTTACTGTTATTTTGCTTAACTAGAGAAAAATATAATCATTTCCAGAACATGTTTTACTTTGAACCTTTTTAATTTATTGTTAACAAAAATAGGTATTTTTAAAACAAAATTTTACTAAGACTTCGATTTGAAAAACATCTGAGATGCTCCAAAAATTGATTTATTTTTTAGGAGTCATTGTTAAAGAGAAATTCATATGATTTTAAACATCATGATCAGCCAAAATACAGTTGAAAAATATTTAAAATTAATTTTGTCTCTGTGAATGTCCAAGCAATTTCTAGATACTAATCTCTTCTATAAGTGGACACGCTCCCAAATTTAGTTTTAAAAATTGTATTGAACATAAAGAAAATAAGGCTATGTAGTTACTTATTTCAAAAATACTTCAAACAAAAAATTTACATTAAATATCAAATCTTCGTTTTCATTGTTTTAAAATTTTAATTTTGTCTACCTTGATATTAAATAAATATTTATGTTATTCTTTTAACTGCATATAACCACTGATTGTTTTTGCTCTAATATAAATAAACACAAAACAATTAAATGAATTAAACTCTATGATTAAATAACAGGTGAGATAAATAGGTACTGGTATAAGACGGTCACAAAGAAAAAAATACTGTTTTTACTTGTTCTACTAATATTATTGTCTGTTAGTAATAAAATATATTTTCAATCTCAAACACTTATTCTTTTTGATGTAATAATAATTTGATAAGGGTAAATTAAATCTGAAATTCGGTTGAACCTTTTGTGTCTTGATCTGTATCAGTTATTCTTAATATGAAATATATATAATTTTTTTCATCAGAGAATGTGAGGAAGTATAAATATCATTATCAAAGGTGTTTAAAATTTTATTGTAAAAAAAATAAAATAAAATGATTATTATTCGATAAGAACAATTATAAAATTAATATTTTCAACTGATAAACGATACATTTTTACATCACATTGTTTTAGTTATTGCATAATTATATTATTAGTTATATTGAGTTGTTAAAATAACGATTATTTGTAATAATATAGACAGTAGTTAGAAGTAGGTATATAAAATTATGTGTTTTCACTTTTCAACTGATGAACGATACATTTTTACAGCACATTGTTTTAGTTATTACATAATTATGTTATTAGTTATATTGTGTTGTTAAAATAACGATTATTTGTAATAATAGTGACAGTAGTTAGAAGTAGGTATATAAAATTATGTGTTTCAAGATATTTTTATCATGTTCAAAGTTAATTTATTGTCAAATTTAAAAATTCCCAGGTTTAAACAAAGAAACAAGCATTTTCTTGGAAATTTTCCAATTTTGACATCATGTTTCTGTTCCTTGACTTTGAAAACACAAGAGTATTAAATATCAAGTCAATCGACATAATTAACAAGTTCTATGCCCGTGTCCACGAAAATCCATCTTTCGTCCCACTTTGCAGAAGTATGTTTAATTTTTTTAAATAAAACTTTGAAATAAGAAAATTAGATTAAAAAAAAAACAGTTTAGTGCACTATTTGGGCAATTTTAAGGCTACTAGAGATAAAAAAAAACTACCTTTAGTAGGATCTCTCAAGTTTGGATTTGTTAAAAGATTAAATAAATAAAGCAACTTCATCCCTAAATCTTAGAACTTAAAATTAGTTACATACCACTGTTTCTCTAAGCTAACAGTTTGTAATGAGGTTACTTGACTTGAATCATTGTTAGGTTTTCTCCTCATTTTAGAGTACCCACTTTATAGAGACTGGGTGTTCCTCAGGATGGTTAATTGCAGACCTAAAGGTCAATTCATTGTTGATTTTACAGAATAAATAATTACCTGTTACAGTTGGTCTTGAATCCAGAACCAAAAATTATAGCGCCTTTACGCTTTATTCACTGAGCAACCCCACTTTTTGGGTTTGTTATACATCTGATAGTTAATCTATACCACTTAGGATTGGAATGAATACCTCAGTTACAGTCTGCTGATAAACTTCGTCTTCTTTTGTCTCTACTTTCTTCTTAACTGGATCATTCAAAACAGCCTTTTGCACATATTTAACTGTTTCCATTGCTTTTTGCAAATCACATTGTTCTTTTAAAGCTTCACCTTTTCTTTGTTCCGCAAGACATCTATTTTAAATATAGATTTTTAGTAACTTATTCATATAGAATTATTTAATTTACTAAAGATTTTTAATTAAATATTTATTCTCCTGAAATATATTCATACAGTACAAATGGTCATGATTAAGGAGCAAGCTATCAGGTTAATTTAATATCTAAGTGTATCATACATTCAAAATTAATTCTTGAAAGTTTAAACGAGTACTACACAGCATTCATCCTCTCCTGTTGGGTTATGGTGTAGTTGGAGAACTAAGTTCACACCAGTGCACAAGTTCCTTTCTTACTTATTTCAAGTGAAAAAAGTTGAGGGATCCAGTGCATTCTGTAAGGTACATTACTGGGTACTTAACCTATCTCGTCATAAGTTTTATGTATTTATATTTTCATTTTGAAGGTATTGAGTAAGTTTAAAATAGATTGGCTTAAATATTATTAATAATGAACTAGATGGATACAAACACCAAGTTCTTATCTGATGACTCGGATAATGTGTAGGAGGCAATGTGTAGAAAAAGGAAACTTTGCGATGAGATGAAATTTTTTTAATGGATCTGTTAGTTCTTTAAAATGGTTTTAAATATCATTTATGCACATTAAGAGAGAGTTTTAATTAGTTACCTTTTTATAACCATGCATTCTAGGCCGTAACATTTTTCTGGTATATAGTAAATTTAATGCAGGTGTAGTGAAACCAGCTATCAACTTACCATTAGTATTCCAGAATCATGAGACACAACTCATAATGTGTATTAAGTTAGACTTCATGAAATTACAAGACTTAAGGTTTTGTCACATAAAAGCATCAGGTGTAATGTGTGTTTTTTTTATTGTTTATTTGTTGTGTTAACTGATCAAGGCGTTATGATAAGTACCTGATAACTTGTAAAATGGGATATAAAAATTTAATAAATTACATCTACACTATGATTGTCACTATATAAAAAATGGAGGTATAAATCAAAATTAAGAGAAACAGAACAAATATCATTAGAACTCATTCAGATCCTTTTGAAATGAAAAATTAGAATATGAATATTTTACATAATTACTCTTATGTTACTGCACAATTATTCTTACATAAAATGATTGAGTTGACTCTGGGTATAGTTAGCTTGTTGTTTAAGTTTCTCTTTTTCTGGTGGTGGTAACTTTTCTGCCAGCTTCATCTCTAGTTCAAAGTTAAATTCTTGTATAGCAAATAATTCCTTTTGATATTGCTGTACACTTTCAGTCAATGCACAAGCTGTAATTCATTTAAAAATAAATTCCCTTTTGTTTAATTTACTTAATAATATTAATAAGTTCAATTAATTTGTATATTAATGAAATATTTATGTAAGACCTGAACCTGCAAAAATCAATGGTTTTTTGCCATTTAGTTTCTACACTGGGATGTCAAGCATAGGCGGATCTACAGGGGAGGGGAGAAGGATTTTGGGCTGAAGCCTCCAAAAATGAAAAAAAGTATTTTTCTTTCATTGGTCCACATTTGTTAGTGTGAGTGATCTAAGGTAAATCTAACGGTAAAGTCGACTGTTGAAATTATAAGGATGAAACAAACTAGTTAGGCACATTTCAACCGCAACATGTGGTTCATCATTAGGGTTAAAAATTAAAAAAAAATATAAAATAACATCAGAAAAGTAATAAATATGAAAGTGTAAGAGTAATAAGAATGAAGAATAAATTTGGGTCGAGATAGTGGGTAACTGATTAAAGAAATTTCGACTGAAATTCCTGACAATTTTGTTTCATTCTTATATACTTATAATGCATGGACCTCAGGAACTTAAATTCCGCCTTGCTGATCTTATGATAATATTTATAAAAAGTAGCTTACCAGAAGAATGAAATGGAGTCCATAACACCTGTTTTCAAAAAGGGAAAAAACAAATAATGCTCTAATTAGAGGAGCATTACAGTTATTAGCAGCATTAGCTACCTTTATGGATGTGTATCAAGTGCTAGATTAGTAGAAGAATATTTACGCACTCGTAATTAATTGAAAATAAAAATGCCAGTAACAGCATGGTACACATTATTTTCATAGATCTGTAGAAAGTCTATGATATGGTTCCATTGTGCAGTCTGTGGGAAGGAATCGTCACAAAACATAGGGGCAAGAAATTATTTTATAAAAACCATTAAAAGCTTGTATATGGATGCTATGGTACTTACTTTAACATAGTGCAAATGAGGAGCGGCTGACCAATCTGACTTCCGGTGGGTCTTTTAACTCTCGCATTAATCTCCCGCCTTAACCCCTGGTACGGAAAACCCCAAATAGCCTAAAAGGCGAGGAAGGGCAGAACATGGTGCCGATGATATATCATCAGCTTATTGCAAAAATCATTTTTTTTTTATTTACAGCCTGTTCATACAAGTCTTACAACTTGTAGGCCTTCCCTAATTAAGGAGGGATATGGTCTAAATTCTAGCGGGGACCAGCCGTAGTGCGAAGCAGGGTCGGTATTCGATCCTACGATCTAATCAAACAGTCATTAAATGACATTTAATAACTTTAAATCAAGAAGAAATTTTCCCTTTGTGAAATCGGAAAATTGTGTACTCATTGTCACTATGTTTTATTTATAAAAGGGTTTATGTCTTTTAGTCCAGCTACTATTTTTATCAATAAATCAGGTTGAAATTCCCAAAAGCGTTAAATATTAAAACTTCAGCTCCATCAAAGATTTAGTTTTTGACTTTTTTACAATAAACCAACGATATGGACTTGCAAAAAACAGTTGTATTTTGTCAAATAAAATAGATGTACTATTTATTAATTGAATTTTGGTTAATAACAGTTAAATTAATTTAAGCAGTTAATAATTTAATATCATTATAAACATTCTCATACTTCTTTTTTGTGCTTCGGTTTGTCTTCTGGATACTTCGTTTTGAAGGAGGCATGTCTTTTTGAGGATATCCTTCTTATCTGGTGGAAGTTCCATGTATTTGGAATCTAATTTACAAATAGGTGATCTCTCTGGTAAAACAGCTTTTCCTTTCTTTATTAACATTGCTGTTCCAGAACAAATATGTTGATGAAGTTCAGCCAATTCGTCCATGCTACATGCCTAATTAAAAAATAAAATATTGGTTCCAGATATAGCCACTCTTGATGATCTATATAACTGCAATCTGTAACTATATCCCTAACATGGTGGATTAAGACTACATTGTGCTCTGAGTAGTAAAAGTAAGGTGAAAAATTAGAAAAAGATTAGAAAATGACACCAAGAAATAATTGAGTAAATTTAAAAACAAAATACTAAATTTGACACCTCCAAGTTGATATTCCTTTCTTTTCTTTTTTAACTTTTATAACAGTAGATTAAGCGGTATTTGCCAATAGGTAAGGCCTATATTTGTTTTGCTTCTACTTCCTGAGGCCGAGCGCAAGTTGAGACGCAGCTTAATGAAGGGATGTCAGAAAGGAAACAGGATTAAATGCAGGAAATTGGAATTAAATCTACAATGAGGAAAGATCTTTTGGTTATGAGCGAAAGTTGAGCCGCAGTTCTTTCTACCTGCGGACCTTTTTGTTGTTAATTTAACATTATTAAAAGGATAGAATTTCTGATTTTTTATCGATTTATTACTAAGTTCCGAGTCTGATTCCGATGATTCAGAGTATAACGATCTGCTATGAAAACGCCTTTTATAAGTAAGGTGAATAAAGCTAAACTCTTATCGTTTGGAAAAGAGACTCTGAATGAAGCTAGTAATTTCTAAGAACGAGTTTTTTTCAGCGACAAATCTAAATTTACCTTATTTTCATTTGATGAAAAAGTTCTGGAGTGGTGTAAAATCAATCAAGAGTTAGCAGCTAAAAACTTGTGTTCCACGGTCAAGCGTAGAGGTGGAATCATGGTTTGTGGCTGTGAGTGCTTCTGGAGTGGGGAAGCTTAAAATTATTGACGGTATAATGGACCAATATGTGTACATAGACATATTAGTAGAAAATAAATGGAATGAATCTTGGTAGTGGGTCGTCATTTATATTACAAGAAGACAATGACCAGAAGCATCAAGCTCAAAAAGTCGAAGTGTGGCTACTCCATAAGGCCCCAAGACAATTAAAAACTCCATACCAATCATCGGACCTGAACCCAAACGAACATCCAAAGGATGAGCTAAAGCAAAGACTGATAAAAAAGGAAGATTAAAACCAAATCACAATTTAAGAAAGCATTAATGTATGAATGGAAGCAAATTCAGCCTGAAGTCACTAAAATATAAAAAATAAGGGAGGTCCTAGACCATTAATTGATGCAAACTATGCAGGATTAACAGTATTGTTATAAAAATGATAAGGATAAAATCAAGTGTACTCAAACTTTTTTGGGTTATAAAAATCTCATATATTCCATTACATTTCGTTATTAATTATTTTTTTCATTTCTTATGTTATCTTATTTCATTATGTTTTTTTCATTAGCTCCTAACTTTGGTACCGTTATGTTATACATCCTATCTTTGCTTCCGCTACTTTCTATTTCTAACTTTGTTATCGTTATTTTATATTTCCTTTAAGTTTATTCTGCCTACTTTATTGTACTTTTAGTTTATTCAACCTACATTTTTTTAGACTGTACCTTTCACCTACATATTATTCATGTATTTTTAATGTTAATAGTACAGTGATGGAAAAAAGTATTTGCACAACACTTTTTATGAACAAATCAGTTTAAGGAAACAAAAAACTTCGCTTTCCTTTGCAAAAATGAAAAGTAAATTTAGTAAAACCTGAAAAAACCTTTTTACAAAAAAATAAAAACACTTCATAATCAAACAAAATAATTAAAACAATAAAAGTGTTTGGAAAAAAGTATTTGCACACTTCCACATTTACAAGTTTATTTTAAATTTTAATAGTTTTAATATTTTGTAAATAGGCCATTTGCGTCAATAATTGCTTGTAGACGTCTGGGCATTGAATGCACTAGGTTTTTAATTAAATCTACGTTTTTTTGTTCCCATTCTTGAACAAGAAGTTGTTTCAGGTGATGTCCACTAGTGACATGGTGTTTTCTTACATTTTGGTCAAGGGTTTGCCATAAATTTTCAATGATAATTATGTCTGGTGACTGAGGAGGAGTGTGGAGCTGTCTTGGAACATTAAATATTCATGTCATATCTAATTGCTCTGCTAGTAATCTGAAGTCCAGACGTTGATTGGACTATGGTAGCCATTCTTAGTTAGTTTTTAATTAGTTCTCTCTCGAAAACTTATCAGAGGATTTTTAAGAGCTTCTTTTCTGATTTTCCTCTTCAGCCTGGGAGTTAACTTTTTTGGACGCCCTTTTCGCTCACTGTTTTCAGTTGAACCACGTTCTTCATATTTTTTTATGACGTATCTCACTGTAAAAAAATTCAACCCTAAGAAATCGGCAGTTTGGCGAAATGTTTTTTGCTGACTCCTCAGTAAAACAATTTCTTCCCGAGTTGCGGCACACAGTTCACTTGTCCTTGGTATGATAATTGTCTATTGACTAAAGGAAACAGATTGAAAGACTAGAGAAACTGGTAATACACGATTAGAGATAAATTAGTAAACAAACCTATGACCTATGGACACAGGATTAATGCTAAAGTAAACAGAGCTTGTGAGTCATGGTGTGCAAATACTTTTTTCCAAGTACTTTTATTGATTTAATTTTTTTGTTTCGTTATGGAGTGTTGTCATTTTTTTCCAAAAGGTTTTTCTTTTTTGTATTTGTAAAAAATGTACATTTGTAACAAATGTACTTTTCATTTTTGCAGAGGAAAGCGAGGTTTTTTGGTTATTTGAACTCATTTATTCATAAAAACATGATGTGCAAATACTTTTTTTCATCACTGTAGCTCATACCTGTTGTTATGTGCTCTTTTCTTTGTCCTGATGAATGCCTGAACTTTGGGTCGAAAGGTCAGCCAAAATAAAAATAAATATAATTTATTTGTTTTTAATATTTTTAACTCCTCAATTATTCACTACAGTCAACCTTCGATCCACAATTTAATAAATTTATAGTGCTTGTCTGAAAAAAATTTGTCCGAACTATGGCTTCGTTCCGTTTATTTTATGTTGAAAAAGAAATACAATATGAACTACAGAATACATGTAAATTACAGTTATACAATTTGGGCAACGTGTAGTACAATAAGAGGAACAGTTGTGTAATATGTAAAAGGGGGGAATGGCCTATTAACCGGACAGTGGGTACACCACTAGTATATAAATATAGACTCTAAAGTAAAAGAGTTAACTTCTAGGATTAAAATTAAGAGGATATCTCATGTTCAACATTAATATAAGGTTTCATGATTGAAATAATTATAAAATAATCCAAAAATAACACCATTAGAGAAGTATGGGAATAAAGAAAATAATAATTTTCCAATGACACGTCATTATGAAAATAATGAAGCAATACCTTAGTAGTTCATCAGTGCCTTACAGATTATTAAAAGACTTTTAATTCTGAACTCAGATAGATTGTGGCCACATAAATAGTGCTAAATGACGAGTAGTCAACAAGCTCCAACAATTGCTAATTTAAATGAAATATATATACACATATGAACAAATTTAAATTAATTATTCCCAATGATTCCTATATTCGATTTTTTTTTGTTTTGTTTTTTACCTGAAATCCATTGTACATAATTTTCTTCAGTAGATCATTTAATGGACTATCTTGTGGCAACATGTCTGAAATCATTTTTCACAGTATTAAAAAAAATGAATATGGAGGAAATAAAGTCAAGATAGAAGAGTTAAATATATAAAAATAAATAAGAAGAAGTCATAAAATCTGTAATCAGTAACTAGTAATTTGAAATTTACTTTATGTATGTTACCTTTAACTTGGTGTTTGTAGGATTATTATAAAATGAGAGTATTCAAAAGATACATTATACAGATCATCATAAGATAACGAGAGTGGAAAATTAAAGTCAATTCTGAGAGTGAGTTTATTAGAGGATAAGAATATCATTTAATGTATCAAAGAAAGTAGGCTAAGATGGGTAGGACACATGGTTAGAATGGAGGAAGAAAGTACAGAAAATAATGTTCGATCTGCACTTCATGTGGAAAAGGAAAACGAGAAGACAAAGGAGCATATGAGAGGAAGAAGTAGAGAGAGATGCGAGGGAACAAAGTGTTTGTTAATGGAAGAGGGATGTGTAAGATAGGGAGACATGAAAAAGGATAATTCAGGTGGCCAAGGTTCATGCTGTCATCTTATGCCTGCGAGTTAGTTTGATGATTGGTGACGAGTTAATCCGACATTGGATTGCAGTTGCCCACGACTTTATTCACGTAATCTTCACTTTAATGGAGGAGATATATTTACCATGAGTACCTAGCAATCGTTGTAATGACACAGAAAGAAAGCAAGTTTTTTAAAAATCTTTTTATGCAAGTACGTATGGATACAAAATATAGTTGTCTTTCCGTGACACATTTATGTCACAAATTGACTAAACAACATTTTTCGAACAATAATTCTTAAAAGATAATTTTTGTTTTCATTTTTTGTTTCCACTTAACTATATATGTAAGTAAGGGAAAATATCGCGATCATGAAAATTTTCGAATCTCAGTTTTCAAAGGAAATAAACTTTTAAAGATCCCCTGAGAATAAATAACCAAGTCCCGCAGAATGGTCTGTGTGTTTGTGTATATGTATTTGGTAAGTCCAGCTCAAAAACGAAAAGTTGTACGAACTGATGTTACGTATTTAATATAGTTGTATACCTTAGATGTGAATTTTTTTCATTAAAATCGACTAACCGGAAGTGGCACTTTATATCAACGGTTATACACATTTTTACAATTTCTCAAAAACGGCTCTAACGATTTTATTAAACTCGGTGTTTTTTTTTTGTTTTGTTTTTTGTCCTCCCCTTCCTCGCCTTTAAGGCTTTATGGGGGTTTTCCCGGACCAGGAAGTATGGGCGGGGATTTAAAAACTCCTTCAGGCACCAGGACGCGAACTCGTGACTATTTTTTTTATCAAAGTCCTATGTATCAGGCTGCCGGGCAACGGCGGTGTAGTGCACACGCGTTATCCCATTCGGCCACCCCGCTCACGTTAAACTCGGTGTATTATTGTATAATTAAGTGGCCTTTAATATCATTGAGGTCTTGTCCCTGTTGATGTCTCTTTACTTAAATGTTCAACAGGCCTTCCTCTAGAGTACCTTTAATTTGGTTTATTTTAAATAATTTACCAAATATTATTATTAAGAGTTGAAAGTTAAATATAACTTTTGAAAGAATTTGCTAATTGAAAAATGGATAAAAAAGGCAAGATGTTTATATAGGTCAAAAATGAATTAAAAGAAATACTAGTCAGAAGGTATACGTATAATACATCGTTGGAAACCGTAGAATTATAGAAAAAAACAATGTCTAATATAGAAATTAATGGGGAAAGACGACAAATTATAAATAATAACTAGTGAAAACTAATATTATTTAACGGAAATCACGTGTTTTCAAGGAAATTAAATGAAATTTACTAACTAAATGTAAACTTTTTTTAAGTTTGAAAATAGAGTATTTAAAATTCACGCGATCAAGGCGATGATATTGTTTTAAAAACTATTTCGTAGTACTTATGAAAGAAGAAATGAATTACAAAAATATTACATGAATGTATACAGCATATGTTTGTAACCTTAAATACGGTTACTATAGTTTAATATCTCTATTAATAAGTTAAGTGAAGACGCGGAATCGGAAGAACTGGAGGTCTAAATAAGGACGGATAAAAAAAAAAAAAAAAAAAAAATAGTCAGCTGCAGAAATGGGGAGGATTTGTTATATTGATAGATAATAAGGGAATATGGTTGAATACATAGAAAACTTTAGGTATTAAGTTCGGCGATAACTAGAAACAGCTATATTAAAGAGGAAATTTATGCTAGACTAGTTATTTTTCGGTTAAAATATGATTTAACTCGCATCTTCTATCCCGAAATTTAAAAATTGACAAAACTTTTTACGATTCAGACATCACCAAAAGATTTAAAAAAATAAAGTATTGCGTTAAATGTTTGGACCAAAGGACGAATTAATCATATAATTAAGTTAGCTACACAACGCCAAATTGCGGGATTTGTATCCGATGGGTATAATTGAGATGATAGATTTTTTATTTTTTTTAATTTTTTATAATTCCTAAAACTAGATAAATTGTTTTATTGATACCTTCTGGAATTCGTGTGAACATTATCAGTTGCAGAATATACCTTTTTGATTGTTTTCATTATATATTTTAATTGAAAAAAAAAAAAAACGGCCGGGGGATGGGACTATGTGGACAACTATTGGTGAAATTGGAATCGAACCTCTGAGCACAGGCGGATTTAGGGGAGGGGGTGCTTTCGGGCTGAAGCCTCCCTCCCGCAAAACGGTAAAATATACTCATGTTTTAGAGAAAAAAATATTAAAAACTGTTTTTTAAAGTATTATTGTTCGTGTAATTGCATTTAATAGGACTTCAAGAATCACTTAAACACCGTTTCATTTAGGTAGTTCATTTCTTTCTCTTTTTTTTTTTTTCAAATTAATTATTGTTATATATATAAAAAAAAAAATTTCGGGCTGAAGCCCCCCCCCCCCCAAAAAAAATTAAATTCTGGATCCGCTAGTGCCTCTGAGCTCGATAAGTTTTTATTATTACCATCATCTCTATTCATCCCTCTTTCTCTTTATATAGGGATTGATAGGCTATTGGGAAATTTGGGATGAAGTAGGAGAGGGGGGCGAAAAAATAACGCCTCGAGCGCCGAAAACTCACACGATCGTCCTGCCTCAGCCCGGATCATCTAGAAAGTCGCCGACGACAAACCCAAAACCAACATTCTCCAGAGGATCAGTTGAATTTGAAAATCCATCTTCTGCATCGTCAACATCCAACAAACAGTAGAAGAATGCGCTGATGGTCCCATCTCCAGAAAGTGCATCATCACCGGACGTTTCTTCGTTTGGTGGAAAAATTCAGCCAACCCGTCGCTTTTTCCTCACCAGACCCACCAATTCGCAAAGCCTCAAAATGATAACTAATTTAGTAAAAAACAAAATATTAACACACTTTGTTTTAACTTTTGCGCTAATAATGTCCTTATTGTAAATATTGTATATAGGTATGTATGTGTTCATTTTATTCATTTATTTTTAGGTTATTTTATTCTTATTTATTGTATATATATTATTTTTCTGTTTAATTTCTTTTATTCATTGTGCATAGAGTGTGAATGTGATCTGTGAACACTATTATAAATGTCCTTGAGACAGAATGTAATATTTGTCAATAAATAAGCTAAAAAAAATAACAAGTTGTACAAAAATTGAAAAAAAATATTGACATAACAATCAGCTATATCAACATGTTATCGATCGATTTATCAATTCTGTAAATTCTATATTAATAAAAATAAAGTAGTATCAGGTAAGCAGCCCTGTGGTAAATAAGTTTTATTTCTCCCAATCATCCAGTTAAATTTAACATTGCGAATCACTGATGACGGATTTTTGCTACCTTATCATGTCTCTTGATGCATTCTATTATAGCCAATACTTTGAATCTTCCATTTATTTGTTGAATAGAAACTCGATTGCACTGGTACAGAGCTTATACTTGTCTGATACTGTCTGTTACTTCAAGACGTGTTACCAATAAGACGTTGCTATGACCTGTTCTTGGATTGCTGTCAGAAAGCCCTCTGCCTCAGGACTTAGTAAACAACATTATAGCTGTTTCAGTTAGATGAATCTGTTGACAAATTTTTCCATTTAATGCTTTCGACTGCCATTCTTCCAGTCCGTCCTGGTGTGTGTTAATGATGAACGCAGCTTCTTGAGAAGCTAGTAGTAAAGCATCCTGCCCGTGGTCAAGATTACATTTTATTTTATGCGATTGCATGTGGCTTAGGTCATTTATTGTTTTTAGAACGCCACTTCAAAATTTTTGTGACCTCTGCCAGTTTTCTTTCTTGGCAGATAACGCCTTGTTATAAATGCAGTCGGGTGATGCATCTTAAACCCTGTCTTCCTTGTATTAATATATCCAATTCTCACCAATTAATAAGAATTCTCATTAATTATTATTAGTCAGATTTATATAAACTGTATTTTTTTGTTCCATTACCACCTAACTCACCGTCCATATAATGTAAGAAAGAAAGGAATTGATGGAGAGGAAGTTGTGTCTAGAGCATTAGCGGATCCAGGATTTAATTTTGGGGAGGGCTTCAGTCCGAAAGATTTTTTTTTTCATTTATATAAAACGATAATTAATTTAAAAATAAAAAATAAAGAAATTAGCTGCATATATGAAATAGTGTTCACGTGATTCTTGAAGTCCTATTAAATGTAATTATACGAACAACAATACTTTAAGAGATAGTTTTTAATATTTGTTTCTATAAAACATATTTATATTTTACTATTTTGGGGGTGGAGGAGGGGGAGGGGGAGGAGGCTTCAGCCCGAAAGCCCCACCAGTAGATCCGTCTGTGGCCGTACAACCTTACCTATTCTAATCTAAGTGGAAAGGTCGAGATTCATTCTGTGGATCCTTCACAAATTTCAGCCTGCCAAAGCTGGATATGAACTATTGCTGCCAGACTCAAAAATATTAAAGCAGACAGCGTTCTTACACGCTCGGCCATCATGGCCTCTTAACATTAGGTAATACATAATTTATGATTTCATAAATTATTAAGTAACATATAAATTATACGCTGTACCTAGCGCTGCCTCTAGTTCAGTTTTAAGCCTTTCGACTTCAGATAGCAGTTCTTCACTACTAGCTTCCATTACTTCTAGTTTGTCTTCTAAATCTGTTACTTTGTCCTGAAGCATGTTTAGTTGTTCTTTTAATGAACTTATTTCATTGACTTTATTAACAATTTCTTCCTCTGTCAATTTAAGTTTAGTTTCTAAACACATCATATCCTCTCTAAGCTGGCAAATCACATTTTTCAAGTTTTCAATTTCTCGTTTTGCATCATATAGTTCATTATAAGCTGTTTTTAATTCTTTTTCCGCACTATACTTAGCTGTATTACACAAATCCAGTTGACCTCGTAGTTTTTTAATAATTTCCAAATTTGCTGCTATTTCTGCTTTTTTTAACACTAAGTCATCTATTAGATCAGCTTTTTCTTTTTTTATTTCTTTCATTTCTTCTTCAAGTTGATTTTTACAATTTCTTAAATCATCAACATTATTTTGACAAATAGCAAGTTCTGAATCCATTCTTCCTTGAATTAACAGTAGTCCACTTATTTCTTGTTTAGCTTTTGCTAAATTTTCATTTAATTGTTTGTTATCTGTTAAATTTTTTTGTAAATTATTGTCTGCTATTTCTTTTGCTTTTTTTAAGGTATTTAATGAAAAACCAAGATTCGTATTTTCATCATAAAGTGCTTTTATCTTTGCATTCAAATTCTCTATTTGACTCATGAGTTCTGTTTTAACTTTTTCTAGGTCTTTGTTATTTTTGAGTAGTAACATATTTTCAGTTTTAAGATTTTCAATTTCTGCTAACAATTTCTTAATTTCAAGATTCATTGAATCATTTTGGTGGTTTAGTTCCATTAATACATCATTTAATCTTGTAATTTCATTTGACATTTTAATATTATCATTGTAAAGTTCATCATTATCACTTTTCATCATTTCTAGTTCACTTTTCAGTTTGTTTAATTCATTTTCTCTTTCTTTAACAATTTCTTCTAATCGAATGAGATCAAGTAAAGCATTTTCTAGTTGTTCTTGCAATGTTTTAATCGCTTCTTCATTTTTTGCTATTTCTTCTTTTAATCCCGCATTTTCTTCTTCTAAAACTTTAACGTCTGCTAAAAGCTTGCTTTTATCTTTTTCTAATGAATCAATGATATTATTCAATTCCTCTATCTCTATATTTTGGGAATCAAGCTTATTTTCCATTTCAGCTAATTGACTATTCAGACTTGTTATGTCATCGTTTAATTTATCAACTTTATCTTCTAAGAGCGTTTTTTCATGTTCTAAATTGCTTATAAGGACGTCTGATTTGTTCGAATCTGTTTGAAGTTCTTGAAGTTGTTGGTTTAATTCATTTATTCGATCATATAGTCCCTTGTTTTCTTTTTTCAAGTTTTCCGTAGCAGATTGAAGAGATTCGATTGCTTTCTTTTGATCAGTTATTTCTTGTTTTAATTCTAAATTTTCTTTGGTAGGTATTCTCATTTCCTCCTGCAGGTTCCCTATTTTTGATTGCAGTTGTTCATGTTGCTGAGCTAGTTGGTCAAACATTGCTTTTTTATTTGCCAACTCATCATTCAATTTTTTTATTTGGTTGTTAATTTTTTTTATTTCATTTTCCAATTCCATTTTTAAATCTTTTAATGTTTTTATTTCATCTTTTAGATCTTTAATAGTTTTTTCGCAGTCACTATTTTTTATTTGCATAGATAGTAATTCATCCTCCAGAGCCTTTACTTTCTTTTCTAAATCTTTGATTTTATTTTCCAAGTCAATCCTAGCACTTTTTAGATCTTTATTTTCACCTTTACAAGCTTCAAAAAGCTTTTTAAGTGCTTCTAGCTCATTTTGTAATGAAATGTATTTAGATTGTAGCTCAACACATTTTTCTTGCCGGTCAAGATTATTCATATCTGATTGACTTATTTTATCTTTTATTTCTTTATTTTCATTTGAAAGAAGTTTATTTTCCTGTTTAAACTTTTGATTTTCATCATTTGCATGATCCAGTTTTTCAAGAGTATTATCTAAACCTTCTTTCAAAGATTTATTTAAATTTTCTAATTCCCCAATTGAATTGTTTAAATCATATATCAATTGTTTAGCATTTTTTAATTCTTTGTTATTCTTATCAAGTTCATCATTCATCTTTTCAAGAGCTAATTGTTTATCTTTTAAATTATTACTGACATTTGCGTAATTTTCTTGCAAATCACGTAAGCTAGCTTGAAGTTCAATGTTGGTATTTTCTAATGAGTGCAAAACTTTTTTTGATTCTTCAAGTTCTTCCTTTAACATTGAATTTTCTCTTTCTTTATCTTCTAAAGCAAGTTTAAGAGATGACAATTCTTGAGATATTTCATTTATTTTGTCTCTGAATTCCTTTAACATTTTTTCATTATTTTCAATTGTTTGGTCCTTTTCTGCTATTTCATTGTTAAGGGTTTCCATATCATATTTGAGCATATCTATTTCTTGTTTTAATTTAGCTACTTCTAGACGAAGATCATCGCATGTTTTTTTAAGCAATTGATTATCTTTAGTTAATTGGTCATTAAGGCCATTCATTTCTTTTATTTTGTTATTTAGTTCACTAATTTGTTTTTGAAGTTCACCAATTCTATTTGCGGATTTAATTGCTTCATTTTTGCAGTTATCAAGAGCTTCTTTAATTTTTTCAAGTTCATTTGAAAGTGACGTGTTTGTTTTCTGCATATCTTTTAATTCTGCTGTAAGTCTCTTATTTTCTTCCTCAAGGACTCCATTTATTTTTTTTAGACCTTGCAGTTCTGCATTTTTTTCAGCCATAATGTTTTGTGTGTTAGCTAATTCTTTATGAGATTCTTTAAATTTATCTTGTAATTCTGAAATTTGATCCTCTAATTTTGTAATTCCAGATTTACACATTTCCAGTTGTTTTTTTGCCTCATTAGCTTCAGTTATTTCTTTTGCTAATTGTTCTTTTAAGTTTTCAATTAACTTATCTTTTTCAGATAATTTGTCATCTCTACTTTTAATTTGGTCTTGTAGAGTCTTTACTAATTCTTCATCTTGAATTAATCTTTTTTTTAGATCATCACATTCTTTTAAATTATTAAGTAGTGATTTAAGTTCATCTTCTAACCCAACTATCTTTTTGTTCAAACCATCAATTGTTGAATTTAACTTTTCATTTGTGTCTTTTAATTTTTCATTTTCATTTTTATCATTTTTAATCTGTGCATTGCACGACTTCAGTTGTGCCTCGAAATCTTCTATACGGCTTTTCGTGTCTGGTGTACCAGTAAATGATTGTAACTTATTCTTCATTTCTGCATTACCACTTTCTGAAGCAGATAGTTCTTCTGTTTTTTTTTTAAATTCCTTCACTGTCTCTGCTAGCTGACTCTGTGCACCTTTCAATTCACTTTCCAATTCACCATATTTTTCTTTTCCTTTAGCTATATCTTCTTGCAGTTTTTTCTTTTCATTTTCCATTTGTTCAATTAAAGCTTTTATCTTTTGATTTTCATTAAGAGCAAGATCACTTAAATGTTTGCATTCCTCTGACGAAGATGCAAGTTTTTGAACATTTTTTTCTAGTTCATTATTTTTCTCCTGAAATTTGGTATTTAAATCTTTAAGGTCCTTATTCTCATTTGATAATTTTTCCAGCTCTTTTTTTGATTCTGATAATTTTTTTTCAAGTTCAGAAATATTTTTTTCACAGTCAGTTGCACGATTTTGCCATTGCTCAAACTTTTCTTTTTCTTGCACGTATTTTAATGTCACATCTGCAATTTCATCTTTTAATTTCTCATTTTCCTTTTTCAGTTTATCATTTTCATTTTTGAGCCTTTTATTTTCCTCTTCTAATTCAGTTATTGACCCAATTAAATTTGTTAGTTCGGTTCTATTATCCATAGATTCATTTCTCATACTCGCAACAGTTTGCCTTTTTTCATTCATTTCAATTTCTAGATCATTGTGTTTTTCTTGTGCTTCAACTAACAACAGAGATAATCTATCAGTTTGAGTACTTGTATCTTGCAATTGCTGTTTCAGAATTTCATTTTCTATTTTTGATTCTCTAAGTTTCTCATCTAGGTGGTCATTTTTGTCTTTTTGTTCTTTTGATTCTTTTTGTAACATTTCCTTTTCTTTTTCTGAATGTTCAAGTTTTTCTTTGAGATTTTTATTCTCTGATGCGAGGTGTTCCAGTTCTGATTCCTTATTTTTTAATTTCTTTCTTAATTCATCCAATTGTGGTTGTAAGTCTGATAATTTACTAAGTAATTCTTCTTTATGTTCAGCAACATTTCCAAGTTCTTCAATTTGACCTATTGATTCTCTTACCTTTTTTTCAGCCTTATTCAGTTCCATTTGTAGTTTTTCAGTATCTTTAGCTGATTTTTTTAGACCTTTATTTTCAGTTTCTAATGCATGCAGTTTTTCTTTCAAAGAATCTATTGCATTTTGTTTTTCCTTGAATAGTTTCATACAATTTTCATATTCCTTCTGAAGTTGTAATAATCTTGCTTCAACTTTGTTTGCACTTTCTAATTCATTTTCCATAGCTGCAAGCTGCATTTTTAAGTTATCCAGATCTTGCAACTGATTGTTGTTACTCTTTAGTTCTTCAGTAAGCTGATCTTTTTCAGATTTAATACTATTGAGTTCTGATACTAAATCTTCTAGTGTTTTTAGAGCTGATGCATGATCTTCTTGAAGTTTATAATAAGCATTACAAATCTTTTCTTTTGAATCTTTCTCAGCTTCAAAATCAGTTAACAGCTTTGTAATAGTATCCCTAGCAGATTTAATTAAATCATCAAAATAGTCGCATTGCACCTGTGGATCTTCAATTGTGGTTTCTTCTAGTGTTTGAATAAGCCCAAGTCTCTGAAGCCTTTCAATTTCACATTCTTTGAGCGATATTTCTTCTTCTAAGTATTCTTTGTTTTTTGTTAAATTTGCAATGTTGGCCAGTAGTTGGTCTCTTAAAGATGACAGTTGATCAACTATTTCAATAGTTTTGGCACATTCTTCTTTAGTTTCTATTAAATCATTTACAGTTCTTTGGAGATCTTTCTGCATTGCATCAAGAGCAGCCTTTAGTTGCTCCTGAAAAATAATAAAAATGTGTAGAAAAGATTTAAGTTTCTGTAACTATATTCATTAAATAAAGAGCATTGTTATTCGGATCACATTCTTAGAATGAAACTCGTATCAGAGATTGAGTGCAGTAAATCTGCAAAACAGGGTATCAAGTGGAAATAAAATGGTCATAAAGTCCTCAATTAGAAAAATTCTAAATTAAAAACCGAAAAACAACTTGAGCTGAAGAATAAATTTGAACCTTTGGACTCAAAAAGCCACAAGGTGGACCAAAACTGAGAGATTCTAGAGACAAGGGTATAAGAAACAGCTTAGAAAGTTGAGGAACAAAAAGCTAGAAAGTGGGGGAAAATAGGAGCAAGTGAAAAAGCAGTAGAAGAAAGAAGAAAAATGAAAGTCCTTTTCCTAGCTGCCAAAACTGATCAAGCTGCAGTGGGCTGTTATGTAGCCACCAATACAAAGATAAAATTATAAGGTCGAAAAAAAGAAAATTCCTCAAAGAAATATTGTAAAGCATTGAGAACAACTGACAGGTTGGTATATGTATGAGTACTATATAGGCATTAGAGATGAGTGGATAACATGTATAGCAAAAATATACAAATGCGATAAAAAATATGACATTATGTTATCAAAAGGAAAGATACTACTCATTTGGAATGAACATTTGCAGCAGCTTCTCATTCAAGGGAAACCTAGGAATAATTTAAACCTTGTGAAGAAGACGTATACTGTACTAAGGACCAAACCCAAAGGTGGTTGAAGAACCAGTTATACTGAATGTGAAAGTAGGCATTGAAAGGCTTTAAACAAGAAATGCTTCAGTGATATACGATCTCCCATCAGAGCAATTTAAAGATGACAGAGAATATCTAAGAGCCAAGCAACTACAACTTATCCAGATAATATGGGAGAAGAAAAGGATATTAGAGGATTGGGATTTACAGAGGCCTAGCAATCTTTGTTGTTACCTACAAGATTAAAATGAATTAAATTAATAATATTCTGCTAAACTGAATATATCCATATTAAGAAAATATAGTAGGAAAAATGTGCATGCCTTTCTTTTCTATTTCAAAGCAACCTATGATTCTGTGAACAGAAACTACCTTTAACAGATCATTACTGGGCTTGGAGTTCTGGGAAGTTGGTGAGATTGCCAAATACATGTAAAATGATCCTAAATGTTGAATCCTGATACAAGGAGAAGTATTTGAAGCTTTTTAAGTTCGAATGACCTTGTGACTGATGCTGTCCAACTTGTCACTGGAAAAGATGATAAGAACTACATAACATGAAAATGAAGGGATGTACATCCGAATGTGAATTCATTGGGTATGAAGATGAAATAGCTCTTCTTGGAAGCAATCAAGAGGTCCTTCCATCCAAACCAAGTTCAATAATATTTTTTTTTAGGAAATAAATTAGAAGTTTATAATGTCAACAAACTCACATGAAATAAGTTGTATGATTACCTGTTTACAGTCTGCACTGACAACTAGATGTTCTGCGTGATTAGTCAATCTAGTTATTTCATCTTCTTGATCAGCTATTGTACATCTAAGCTCGATTACCTACATAAAGAAGAAGGTATTTGACATCCAGCTGACATAGCTGACATAGATAATATTTTCTATAGTTCCAATAATACTCTATAGTATGAACTATACAATAATATGATTATTGTAAACTTAAAGCAAAGTTATTATCTTTACCTCATTTAACAGAAGATTTTTCTCGGTTTCAATTTTTTTTAATTTGATTAGTTTTGATTTATTTTCATTTCTTTCTTTCTTGAGCTCCTCTAACTCGACTACTTTTGAAATCAACTCATTTATTTCCCAGTCCTAAAACAAGCCTTATTGTTTGAAAAAATCTTGTTAGGTTCTATATAAATTAAACATTGTTTTTGTTAATTAAATACAAATAGCCCATTTAAGCACTTTAATGAATTAATTTTATTAAAAGTTATTTAAAAAATTGTTTTTCTCTGCTGGTTTTTACTGTTCATTTAGATCAGTTATCAAACCGACCAGAACCCTATTCTTGCCTATCTTGGATTATTGCTTTCTAATTTTTTTTGCTCTGTGGCAATATTGTCAGTTATGCTCCAAACTTTTTGTTACAGGTGTTCTACTCAATTACTGAGGCATAATTGTGATCCACAGGATTCCGACGATTAGATGTACTTTTTTGAATACCTATGGCAAATGCTGCGGATTAAAAAAAAATCCAATGTATCCATGAATCCACTTTGGATACCCTCTCCTCAGAATATAGGAGATCAATATATATTTTTATTTGACTGTTGAAAAGTCTCCTGAAATATAAGATGTCTGCTTAGATTAGAATTTTGGTCTGTTTGCCTCCATCACATAGGATGAAGAAGGCAGATTTAATGGAAGCAATTGTATTTGTGACATTTAGTGGGTGTTGGTTGTAGAAATAGGACAATAGTTTAAAAAAATAAATATTATGTTTAGTTCCTCTTCAATACAAATAAAACAATAAAAAAAAAATGATATCAGTGAATAAAATTTCATTACCACAATATGAACATTTTTATTTTAGTTTCTTCAGCAGGATAATGAAATACGTTTATGTAACAAATTATAAATATCTAATTCATGGGCTAAATGCTAAATCAAAATTAGAGCAGTACAACTTTTCATGAATTGAATGTTTATCCACAGACATACAATTAATTATAAAAAAAAAAAAAAATTGAAATGATACCGATAGATTGGGAGAACCAAAAGACATTGCTTTGAATTTTTCACTTTTACATTTCATGTGCTCTTTTTGAAGAGCTTCATATTTTTCTTTAAATTCTTTAAATCTTTTCACAACTCCTTCAAGTGCTTGAATTTTTAACTGAAAGTAGGGAAAGAATTTAAATAAAAGAAAATTAATATACTAAATGAGATTCTATAAAATTAAAAATTTAACATAATTATTGTAAAACAAACAATATAAGGAACTACTATATAAGAAAAAATCTAGATATATATGTTTATACAAAATATTAGTTTTTTTTTTTTTTTTTTGCTTATAGGTTATGTATATATTTGAAAATCTGTTAGCAAAGCAATTGAATATATTTATTTTTATTTAAAGGTTTGAGGCAGTGAACTGAACTCTAAATTCGCTGATGCTTCAAATTAGCAGAAAATGTGATAAGATCCTATTGTAAAAATTAAAAAGGTGCTCATGAGTGGAATCATAAATTGCAAGGATATGTTCATCATCATCATGATCATATTCCTCTTTACCCCCTATGCAGTGTGAGGTTGTTTCTTTTAGAGCTTGGACCAGGTGGACCTTTCCAGTACCAGCTCTCGTCTCGTTTTCCATTCTAAATCTCGCTTCTGGAATGCATCTCGCACGCCTTCTTCCCAGGAGATTCTGGGTCTTCCTCTGGGTCTCCTACCCGGCACGCGAGTCTCGTATGTCTTCCTTGCGACTCTGTTCCGATCCATACGGAGGAGGTACCCAAACCATCTCAACTTATGTTCATCTATTATGGTTTCGATCGCTTTGGCGTCGAGATTGGCGCGGATTGTCGTATTATGAATTCTGACTCGTCTAGTCTTTTCCTCCACCTTTCGCAGGTATCGCATCTCTTGAGCCTGGATCTGGCTCCTGTGTTTCGAAGTAAGTGTCCAGGATTCGGAAGAATACGTCAGTATAGCAAGGAATACTGATTTGTTGACCGTCATCTTCGTTTCCTTGGTCACCTCTTTTCGGTCCAGAAAGCCTTTCCTAACCGAGCCGAACGTTCTTCCAGCAGCTCATATTCTCTGGCTTAACTCCTCGTCAATATATCCATTTTCGTTGAGTTGAGCACCCAAGTATTTGAAACTTTCCACCTGCCCTAAAATCTCACCGTCGACCCTCAATACCCTCATAACCCTGTGAGGTTTTCTTCCAATACGCATGCATTTCGTCTTCTCAGGGTTAATTTTCATATTGATTTTTCTTAAATCTTCCTCTATTAATGTTGTTCTGGAGGTCACGGTCATTCTGGGCCAATATGACGAGGTCATCCGCAAACGCCAGTGACCCAACTGAAGACTTCGCATCTTCTGTTTTGCTTTTCCCAGCGCCAGATCGAGAAACAGTACGACTGGGTTCAGGCTACAACCCTGCCGTATGCCCAGTGTTGTTTTGAACTCTCGAGAGGTATGGTTTGTTGTTCTAACGAGATTCCTCGTATTTCCGTATGAACTGCTTACGGCCCTTATAAGTCCATTATTTACACCTTTTTCCACTAGAGCCTCAATTATATCCTTTTTCCTAACCCGCTCAAAGGCTATGCAGAAATTTACAAAGCACACTGAGAGTTCCTTTCCCCTCTCGACAAACATCTCTGTGATTTGTCGCATAGTAAAAACTAGATCCTGTGTGCTTCTTTGACTCCTGAATCCATACTGCTCCTCTTCAATCTTGGATTCTACGGTGCTTCTGACCCTTGCCTCTAGGAATTTTGAGTATATTTTACTGGGAACACTAAGTAGCGAAATATCTCGATGATTGTTGCAGTCCCTGTTGTCTTATATATTGGCACTATGACTGCGACTTCCCAGTCCTTCGGGTTCTTCTATTTTCAGACCAGGTTCACAAGATGGAGAAACATTTCCTGACCTTTACTTCCCATAAACCTAATTATTTTCGGAGTGATTCCGTCCAGTACCGTCGACTTGCCGAGTTTCATCTTGGCGATGGATTCCAGCAATTCTTCTTCATCAATGTAGTCGCCCTGTTCTAAGGAATCCTCCTCTACATCCTGGATCTCGTTTAGGTTCTAATCTGCTCCTTCTATCAGCTCTTTAAAATACTCTCTCCACCTCTCCATTATCTCATCATCCCGCCAGACAATGTTCCCCTCTCTGCTCCTAATTCCTTTCAATGTGGTGGGTCTCTCCTTGCGCATTTCTTTGATTGCTTTGAAGAATAGTTTTTGGCTTTCTTTTGCGTTTTCTTCAAGTTTGTGCCCCAGATCTGCCCACGATTTCCTCTTGGCTAGAAGTACTTTACTTTTTGTTTCATTTCTCTTTTCTTTGTACTTTTGGTGAGAAATGGATGTTCTTTGGCTCATGAAGTCTTTCCAAGCTGCTTTCTTCTCCTTAACAGCATCCTTTACATCCTCTGTCCACCAAGCAGTTCGCTTGAAATTTGACCCAATGCTCTTCTGACCACAGACGAGTCTCGCGGCATCAAGAATGATATTTCTAAATGCTGTCCAGCTCTCCTCAATATCATCGCTATCCCATGATTGATAGATATCTCGTGACATCCTTTCCACTTCCTCTTGATAGTATTGGGCCATTTCATCCTCCTTCAGCCTGTAAGATTTAATCGTTTTGTTCTTACTACCTACACATCTCTTCCTCTTTTTACTGTCATGTTTTTGTTTATGAGGGAAGAAGGTGTTACTTAACATCAGGTCGTTTGCCACACATAAATTCAGAATTCGTTCCCCATTATCATTTAAATTGTCTTCACATACTAGACTGAAACGACAAGAAACCGCTCGACGTTTCCGATTACTTCAGTACTTACTAGACAAACGCTCTAAACTTCCAATTAACTACAAAAGACTCATATGCTTGACTATAATAAGGTCTATTTGGACTTACGGAGTTGAGCTATGGGGCTCCACTAAACCATCGAATTCCTCTCGTATCCAATTCTTACAATCCAAAATCCTTCGTAAAATCCTCAATGCTCCCTACTTTGTTACAAATAAAACCATCCATAAATACTTGAATGTTTCTTTTGTTTCAGATCTGGCCCAATCCAGATACCTATCCTTCCATAATAAACTTCAGGATCATCCCAACCCTCTCGTTTCTAATCTTGCTTCCTCTTCAATCCCTGATAACCCTTCGAGGCGTCTGAAAAGAAGATGGCCCCACGATCTCCTAATGTAAACATATCATTAGAGTGCTACCATTGGGTAGTTACTCAGCAAGTGTTTTCATGTCATTATATCCATTATGTTCAAATTTGCTAGATGTATTTATTTAATACAGTTGTAAATGTCATTAAGAAAAAAAAAAAAAAATTGTCTTCACCGTGAGATTCCAACACTTTTGGTCATCTTCCACTATCGCGGTCATTCCATTCAGGTCTCCAAGAATTATGGGGTTACCCTCACAGTAGTCTATTTCTTTTTGTAGAGAATAGAAAAATGAATCCTTTTCATCTGCTCTTGCACTATGCCCATATGCAACTATCAAAGAGTGAATGTCTTTCCCCTCAACAATGTTTAGGATCATGTTTCGATCGCTCACAAATTTCCAACTTTTGATTCCTGATGCAAATCATTATGATACATGATCCCTACTCCGCTGGCTGCTCGCTCTCTCTCATTGACCCCCGAGTACAGAAGAGTGTAGTTCTGGATCTTCAGTTCGCCTTTTCCTTTCCTCATCGTTTCGGTGATGCCAAGTATATCCACTTTGGCCTTTTTAATTTCGTCCACGAGTTCGCACTCCTTTCTATTCAAACCACGTACATTCCAGGTAGCAAGTCGTATAATCCGTTTTCCGCGCCTTGTCAATTTATTCCGTAAGTTCAATTCAGCTCTAATCGTTCGTTTGTTTGCGATAAGACTTATTTTAGAGGAGAAGGTTATCAGTCCACTGCCCCCTAGTCAGGTGGAGGGGCTGCCTCCTTAGAGCATCCTGACCTGCTCCCTCATCCTAGGCGGCTTCCTAGGATTGCTGACCCTAGGGCGTGTAGTGTAGGTGACATTGTGTCAGTGTAAGTGTGTGGTATAATGTTCTGTGTATGTGTTAGTGCAGTGTACTGAACTCGGGGTCCGGAGGATCGTCAATCCCCACCAGCTGCGCACTTCAGATAGCCCCTCCGGGTATGTTGCTAGATATAATTATCTTTGAATATAAACTAAATTTTCAATAATAGGAACATAGGGCGTGGTAACATACTTGTGTATCTACTACTAGTCATTAGCTTAGCAATCTAATCAACTTTTCCTATTTTCTTAATAGATTTTAGTTTATACTTTATTCATTCATGTAGATTAATTGTTATAAATTTTTATTTTATTTTGGTTCTTCGAAATATGGGAGAGGGATACGATATTCTTGCCTCTTCTCTATTTTTATTGGAGGGAGGGGGAACCGGGACCCACCCTTTCCCCTCCTCCTCCCCAAGTTTGCGCCAATTCTTGAATTATTCTTTGAACAATTTATTTTTTTGTTTAAGAAACTAACAAACAAAACACTATTTATTAAAAATTTAAAAAAGAATTTTTTGGAATTGCCTGCCTCGTTATAAAACTCCATGTACCGTTCTGTAATATTTGAATACAGTACACAAAACACTAATCTCCGACAATATAGAACAGCATTTCCCCCCCCAAATTTTCACTTTAATAGGAGTAGCCTTATAAGCAATGCCTAAAATGTACAAACAATGCATTTGCTGTATATTGAAGGATAGCATGGAGATTTCATTTCATGGTGGTAAATAGGGTGCCCATCCCCCTCCCAAGGTCGATGGCGCAAGAAAATATCCCCTCCCCCTTTCACGATATTGCATTGTTCACCTTTTCATAAAACAAAGCAATGGAAAGTAGAATTAGAAAAATTGTAGATCATACACAATTACCCTTGCTGCGGTCTGTTTTTTAATTTTCTCCTTGTTACTCATTCTGAAAGTTTCATTCCGAAAATACATAACCCCATTAAAATGTGTACCCTCCAAAATTCAAAAACTCGTCTAAATATGCCCCCTCAAAATGTGTGATGGCGTAACTTGCGCCATAAAACCACATTCTGGGCATCCCAGGTGGTACATAAAATAATCAAATACATAAACCTAGGACAACTATAAAATTTAGAACA